TATTGTTTCTGCCTGTGGCAAGGTGTTTAAATACTGCTATTTTAATCGTCTGTACTAAAGAAGCTATACATTTCATTTATAAATTAAAACAAGCCCACTCCATTTTTCCACTGAAAAAAAGCCATGATTTTGGAGATAAAAGCAATCATTCATAGGCTTCCACTCACATATAAGACTAAAGTTCTTTTTAATCCTTTTTCAATACAGCTTAGAGGAAAGCTAATTTGTGTTTGCAAAAGTCTGATAATTTTTTTTAAGTAAGTTAATTCTTTCAATAATTAACTAGATAAGGATGGGTTCAGATGTCATCCTAAGCTCTGATTTGTTTATCTCATTTGTGGGTTTGATAAACTTTAAAAAAAAAAAGAGGAAGGGGCTTTAGTAAGAGAGATGAATTTCTCTTGACTCAAATCAGGATTCCTGTTGTATGTATCAAGGATCAAATCAAAGAAAGCAACTATGGCTATGCCTTGCTTACCAAAGATAAAGAGTGGAAAGAAGTTTAGAAATTCAAAGCTTTGTCTGAGTTCCTTGTTAGCAAAGTCCAGATTTAACCACGCTGAGACCCAATGCCCTCTTCCCTTCTATGGAGAGAACGCCGCTCGTTCCTTACTTGTAAGCGATCCATTTCCAGAACCAAAAAGCAGTCTGCCCGTTAGCATCAGAGGCAAAAGGTACGGAGTCCCTTTTAGGTGGGAACCCAGTGCAAAAATGGATGATCCCAAGACAGTCAGGAACGAGAAAACAAAGACACCAACTATAGAGAGAAGGAGGGGGGAAAAAGGCATCAAAAAAAATTATACAGGCAAAACATGTGGCTTTTATAACAGCCACATGAACAGACGAGACAAGATCCAGATTTGTAACCTCTTTAATCACTTCTGATCGCAGATACTGTCTACAAGGCATGCCACTACTGTTTTCAGGTGCAGCTACAGAAAATCCTCCACTTTCAACCTATTGCTAAACAAGGTGGTTGTTAAGTGAGGTATGCCCCTATTTGACCCTTTTTTGCCATAGTTGTTAAACGAATCACTGTGGTTGCTAAATAAATCGTGTGGTTGTTAAGCAAATCCAATTTCTCTCTCTGACTTTGTAGGAAGGTCACAAAGGGTGATCACATTACCCCAGGATGCTCTAACCATCGTAAACAGATGCAGGTGTGTCAAGCACCCCAATTTTGATCATGTGACCACGGGACTGCTGGGATTGTCATAACAACAAGCCATTTAAGTCACTTTTTTAGTGCCACTTTAATTTGAAATGGTCACTAAATGAATGGCTGCAAGTCAAGGACTACTGTAACAAACAGGGTATTTCATTCCTATCTCTCATAAGAAAGATCATACATTTTCTGTTAAGCTTGTAGGAAATAACATGAAGAGACTGTTCAAAATTCTGCAGTCCAAAATACATAAATGCATTACAGCATCCTCATAGAGTGGTGCAGTGGCCTAAAGGTTGAGCCTCTCACCTCACAATCAGAAGGCTATGAGTTCGATCCTAGATAGAGACAGATATTTCTCTTTCTGGGCACAATGAGAATATATCTGCTGAACAAAACTCCGCATTGGCAACAGGAAGGGCATCCGGCCAGTAAACACTCAACTCCATTCAGTTGCCCAGGCTCCACCCCGCGAGGGATTATGGGGTTGTTAAAAGGAGATGATGAAGATGATTATAGTATCCTCATGCTTTCCAAGAAATATGCTCTGTGAAGACCTGGTTTTTAAAATGTTTGAAAAATCCTGGAAGGGCTAACCAAAGATAATTCAATTTCCCTGACAGTCTTACATCTTTTTACTCTTAAGAAAAGCAATCAAATCCAAGGCTGAATTTAAAAGAATCACATTAACGTCTGCCAACAGGTTTTAAACTCTGCATTTTTTCAGCCATCTTATAGAAGTAACCAAAATTAAGGGTACGGTCTGAGATCACACAGCCCGCCAACTTCTAACGCCAGTGTTGGTATGAGGGGTCCTTGGTGATCTCTTGAGTTTGGTTGTTTTCTTGCAGGCATTTTATTACCCAAATTAGGTAACATCATCAGTGTTAGTCTTGTTAAAAGTACAGAATGGAAATCATTGGTCAACTCAGAACTGGTTTTCTTTTATTCTCGGGGTAGAAACGAGGAGGTGGAATTTTAAATATCCGAAACAAAGCTTCATTTTCAAAAATGCATCCCTAACCATAACTGAGTTCCTTTATACATTTAGAGCATTCAAAGCCACTGTACCCAGACAGACGTGGCTAAAGCGAAGCCTTCTATTTCACATTTAAAAGTCCTTGTGAAACAGAGATAAATGCCAATAACCTTCCAGGAAAGGCAACTCTTCATAATGTATTAACAGAGCAGAAAAGGTCTTCTTCAGCCAGCTGGATTTGAGAAGACAAAGGAACATACAGAACAGCGTCCCCACCCCCC